TACTGTCAGGCTGAAACTGGAGCAGAACAACTGGTGGTGTAGTGGTAACACACTGCATCCGGACGTAAAGGAGAGTAGTTCGATTCCCCCCTGGTCCAGAACAATTTTCGGAGGGAAGATTATGTTCACGACAACAGCTTTCTCCCACACTTCTATAGGTTCCGACTCTCTTGACACCGCTACATTTCGTCAATGGCTGTAGTTCTCGAAATCTTGCTTCAGTTTTCATCTAATACGTCTGCAGCAAAGAAATGCCCCAAGTTTGGGGTTCCCACCCCTTACCGCACCACGTACTGTCTGTGTTTACAGCTTAGAGATGAAATACAGGCAGTAGTCCTTCTTTTACATGCTACTTTTCACATTGTCCTCCTACATGACAAGCGGTTTACATGCATTTCCCACCTAACAATGTTTTCTAGCCTTCACCCCCTTCGAATTATTGCTCTGCTGCCGCTGTCCGGACCGTTCTAATTTATTTTTCCTCATCCCCCACCTTCCCCATTACTTCGTCCTTGGTTATTCATATGATGCTGATGGGGCCTCCACGGCCCGTATTGCCTTTTATTTCTTCTTATTTTTCTTCTCTCCAGCAAAATTTTCATAGCTGCGAAGATCATCGAATTCGACTGCCGACGCTGACAGTTCCTGGCTCGTTTCTGTGCATTCGATACGCTACCAAACGAGGAGTAAGCAACCCCAGGCAATATTCGCCATCATAGTTCAATTAGTTTTCCTGGCTTGCCAACTTGGAAAAAATAAAAACCATAAAAACATTATCGTAAACAGTCCGTACCCGCCAAAGGCATCCAAAAATCCGATAACAAAATTGGCGACGTATTTGTCGTAGCAGTTGAGGGTCGGAGTCAAAGAACACAAAGGTTCGGCAGAATCAACCGGATCCTCATACATCAGTACAACACCCATTAACGAAGACAGCTGGATGAGACAGTTCATCGACGATGTACGCATCGTTTCCTTATGGCGTACACGTTTGTGCAACTGAAAATTCGTAACATTCCGCATATAAAGGCGGTAAAAATTCGTCTAATGACCACTTTGAGAGCCAAGACAAGAAAAATTTCTTGCAAACACGCTAAAAGCTTATGCAAGCAAACAAAGGCACTATATAACTAGCATAATAGAGATATTAATTATGATATGAATTAACGGACCGAAACACTTTTTACCATTATAAAAATCTCACAAATCTTCTATTTTTCATTTCTTACCTTCCTTTCCTTTTTTTCTCCTTTTTTTTCTATTTTTTCCTGTTAAAACTTTCTAATGTATATAAAAATATAAAATATATCAAAAAAAAAGAAAAATCAGATGGATAGGAATACTTTGGTCCATTATGTCGCATACATTCCTACTCATTACCACAACTAAATATAACTTGCATTTTTTGCCGAAAAACGAAAAAGAAAACAGGGGAACGAATGCCAGGAACACAGCAGCTATGAATGGTTACCAGTTGCACTGCGATTGCAAGCTAAATAACTGGCCAACGCATGGGGTTGCCCGTGCGAAGATATATTTTTTGCATAGCTCCTCGCAGACTTTTGTAGCTAACGGTACTGGTTTTCCGACAGATGCTTCTAGCTAAAAGAATTTCAGACTGGCCGTCAGGACTGTCAGGAAACATCTCTTCAAAATTCCAGTCTTCTAGCTTCTAACGTTATCGAGTTAGCAAGTTACCCGCAAAAAACCTTAGCGGGCTCGTACGTGGGTACCACGCGGATAAGGGCGTCCATTTTGGGGGTTGGGGCCCGTACATGCATGTAGATTAAGTTCCCAAAGTTTAACCTCGTAGCTTTTACAGGTGTTGAGATGAAAAACCGGTGCAGACGCACACACAGACACACGGACACACAGACGACCCCTCGTCAG